CCTGAGTGGGGTATCTCAGGGTACCCAGCTTTCTTTCCCCCCTTCCAAAGAGGAAGAGAAAGCCAGCAAAGCCCGTGGGGCAATGCAGGCCATCTCTGGAGGCTGCTTTGGGGTGAAGGTGTGAGAGAGAAGCTGATCGTTGAGGCTATGGCCAGCCCCCAGCCCTGCCCGTCCACTGGATTCCCCAATCCAGAGCAAGGATAGAAAAGAGGCAGCCTCTGCTTGCCTCTGCTTCCAGCTCTCTTGACATTCAGGCCACCTTGGGGCGGCAGCACTGGCAGTAGGCAGGAGGAGACATGCAATCCATCTTGCAATTGCAGCACTTGGACTCACCTGTGCTGTGCGGGCTACACAGCCCCAGAGTGCCCTGGCCAAGGGGCCAGTAGGCTGCAGCTGCTGCCAGACACCATTGGCCCCCATGCGCTTGCCACCTCCTCTGTGTGCACCCGGGGGGCTCCTGGTCGGTCTGGGCCTTGTGATGAAAAATAAGACATTCCCTGAAAATAAGTCCTAATGGATCTTTTGGATCCAAAATAAATATAAGACTCGGTCTTATTTTCAGAGAAACACAGGTAAATAGACAGACATATACTTTTAGAATAAAAAGAAGGAGCAAAACAGATTGTATCCTCCTTCTTTTTACCACTCTGAAATCTAGCTGCTTTTCTTGTCCCTGATTTCAATCCGAGTATCAGAATTAAAGTGAATGTGTTGATTTTTTGCACCTTCCATATTACGCATGATTGAAACAGATCCATGATCATATACATAGGATAAAACAGCCACTCAGCAATTTTTTAATCTGCTCAGTATTCTGAATCTGTTGACTTTCATATAACCCATGGTGGGTCTCTCTATCCTCCCTCCCTCCACTTTCTTATTACTCTTGCATGTGATACTTTTTATTTGCTGATTCCCTATCTGTCCCACTCTTTTGCCACTATACCCTTAACCACTAATGAGTACGGTGACTTATAAGTCATTAATAGGTATCCAGACTTTCTGTAATTTACAATTAACTTGGCACTTTTCTTTGACTGGGTGGGGCAAATCTTTATTTCCTGCTAATTGATGCTCTGGACATACCTGTCCTTTTTCCTCACTATAATAATCTAAAGGCAGAATATCCAGGTTCAGTCCATAGCTTTGCCAGATAAGTGCTGTAAAAACCAGAGCATTGTTAATCAGTGTAGGTAAAATTGATCTACACGGATTTATACTCTGATTTCATTCTAAGCCAGTGGTTCTCAACCTTTCTAATGCTGTGACCCCATAATTCAGTTTCCCATGTTGTGGTGACCCCCAAGTGGGTCTGGCCACCAATAAGAGGGAGTAGGACAGCTAGGGAAAAGGGAAAAAAATGGCGGACAGCGTGGTTTGGCGACCCCCATGAAATGGTCATTCGACCCCAAATGGGGTCCCGACCCACAGGTTGAGAACCACTGTTCTAAGCAGTTTCTGATGAACTGAAAAACTGCTGATTTTCAATCCCCCCAATAGTTGCACTGTAAGCCTTCTAGTCCAACTCCCAACTCAAGGCAGGAGACTTTATACTGTACCATTCCAATCAAATGGTTGTCCGATCTATTTTTGAAAATCTGTAATGGAGCACCCACAACTCCAGGAGGCAAGCTATTCCATTGATTAATTGTTAACTGTAATTTCAAGAGTTGCATGCATAATACAATTAGTTTCCTAAGTGTGAAGGGAAGAAAAATCAGAGGAATAAAAGGATCCATTCCTATAAATATAAAGATCTGCACATCACCTTTAAATACTGTATTGCTGTAATGATTTATATTGATGAAAATGGGGCAGAAGCTCCATATTATTACACATCCAATCAACATTGTTCCCAAACATGTTGATTTTCCCAAATATCTGCAATTTTTCTGATACTTCCTGATTCTTTTAGTATTCTGAAACCTGCACTCAAAAGGAACTTAGTCTTGTTAAATGAAAAAGACTGAACAAGTCCCTGGTTGTTGTTGTTGTTGTTGTTGTAGTAGTAGTAGTAGTTGTTGTTGTTGTTGTTGTTCTTCTTCTTCTTCTTCTTCTTCTTCTTCTTCTTCTTCTTCTTCTTCTTCTTCTTCTTCTTCTTCTTCTTCTTCTTCTTCTTCTTCTTCTTCTTCTTCTTCTTCTTCTTCTGTGGTGGTCTCCCATGGAGAATGAGACACGCACACAGGTATCTCGGGATGGGAGCCCAGAGTTGACTCCAACACCCTATTTTATTGTTACTATAGTTTTTACATCACACAGTGTAATCAAAAGATGTATATAGGGGTGGTTACAATATATCACATAACAGACACTCTCCAGATGCAAGGCTATGCAGGTGTTCTTATCAGACCCTGTCCAAATGGTTGATGAATGTATTCTGTGTCTGGAGCAGTCCGTTTGTTATCTCAAGGACTTTGTGGGAGCATGTCTATGGGCATACTTGTGCAATTAATCCCACATCTCCTCGTTTTGTATTTTTTTAATGTTACTCACTTCCAGTTCCAGAAGGGATCTTGATTCACTGATTAAGGCGTCCTTCCTAGTGGAGGGCGTAACATTTTTGCACATTTGCAGGAGGGAGGGAATACATTGAATGCAACAACATAGCAATACAAATAATATCAAATGGTTACTATAATAGAAATCAAAGATCGTAGCCAGGATCCATCCAGTAGCCAGGACCAAAGGGCACCCCATATGTCCACGGTGCCTGATCCATCGCTGCGTAAGGGATTATTTTGGATCATAGATTCCATTTTCCTCGCTGTAGCAGAAATATTAGGTTGAAAATCATGTATATACATACAACAATGAGAATGAATTAAAGCACATACACCGCCTTTTGCTGCTAAAATAATATCTAAAGCATACCGATTTTGCAAAACTACTTCCCTTATTTCCCCCATTTCTTGATTAATCATTTTAATGCTGTTGATTGTTTCATTAAACATATGAACAGTCCAATTGTTAAGCAAATGAAGGTTCCTATAGTTCATGGCAACTCCTAGATTGGGTAGAATCCCTCTGCTGATTTGAGTCTCTAAACTACCATCCAATGTTAGGGGTGGATCCGAGGAACCAGTATCACGTTTGTTCCACAGGCGTCCATCAGGGAGATGAGGCAAGGCATATACAGCAGGGGTCAAAAGGCCCAGTGTACAGGTGCCTTTCCAATCCTTAGGCACCTGGCGATAGGTTCTACGGCCACATAGTAGCCACATATCGGGTAACTCATAATAACCCTGGTGAGACTCATTAGCAAATGTTATTATGGATTCCATGTCAAGGCAAGCCATGTAGGTACTGATGTTTGTCCATTGATTGCTTCGATAAGTGTTGTTTACCTTAGTAAGGTTGCTTTTGATGGATTTGCATTTCTTTGCTGAATTCCATATAATAACTTGTTGACAATTACTATAATTTCCCAAATAAGTGGCAGTACGGAATAGTCCTGTGCTATAAAAACAAAATCTGGCAGGTTCCATTATATGAGCGCCCACAGCATATGTCATATTCAAAGTCTCTGTAGTTATGTTCCACAGCTGCTTCCATCCTGTTTCATTGAACGGGATGGCATGGAAAATAAGGCCACCACGACTGTCACCAGGAATTTGCATGCAAATCCAACAGTTCGTGACATTAAGTGTAAGAGCAGTGCACCTGGCATCCCGTACAAAAGCATTAAAAGCCCAGTCCCTGATCCTCATATGCCTGGCTGAGGTGGTGTACGTTGAGCCATATAAGGATGAACACAACGAGCTGGAGTCCAAATGATCTCGCCATGGTCGTCTATTGCAGCGTAGCCTCGACCCCAGGTAATGAGGGAAGCAGGTCCTTTCCAGGTGGGATCAGGCAAGCGTTGATAGTATACCTGGGGGTGTGAAGAATCTGTGGGAGAAGCAGAAAAATGCCTGCTTGCGGCAGTTGAGCCAGGGGTGCCAGAAACATTCAAAAAGTTTAAGGTAAAAAGTACAAGATTAAGAGTGTTTTGTATCCCAGGCAAGCAAACACTCCTTGTTCCCGGGCAACAAGTGTGGGAAGGATTATTCCCTCCGTTTCCGGAGGCAAGGGTCCAGAATAAAGGGTTTCAGCAACCGTGAATAGGTTAGGAAAAGTAACAGAAAGATCAGAAGCCAATTTTAAATCAATGCCAGAAAAATATTGCGAAGCAGAAGGAGGAATAAAGTGTGAAAAGGATGCAGCCTTTGGAGAGGGGTTAGCTGCAGACCCCTCTGTTAGTTTCCCCGATTGGACTGAGAGGAACGGCACTGATTGGCCCAATGAAAACCCTTTTTACATTTTGGGCACACAGTTTTGGGCTTGGCTCCGGGGATGGCAGCGGGTTGAGCCGTGCCTCCTCCTGGGGCTCTGCATTGCTTTTTAAAATGACCAGGTTTTCCACAATTGAAGCAAGTGCCTTGGGGTTGATTCCCCTTTTGGATTGCAGCTGCAAGAGTGTCCATTTGAAAAGCATTGGTTCCCACAATGCGGCAGGCTTTAAGAAAGTCCGCTGGGGTGGCTGTGGGACTGGAAACAAGTGGTTTAAGAATGGACTGGCAGTCCGCATTTGCATGTTCATAAGCCAATTTTATGAGGATTTCATTTGCTGCATCTCTGTTTGAAATTTGACGCTCAATGGCAACTTACAGGCGATTCACAAAGTCTGCATAGGATTCAGTCACAGTTTGGCGAATGGCAGAAAAAGATTGAATCGGGGTGCCAGATTCATCAACACGAGCCATGGCAAAAAGAACACAAGTATTAATGATCGGAAATGCAAAGGGGTGAAAGTTTGAGCCTGAGCATTAAGGGTGTCGGGCCGCCTACCCTGAATGCAGCAGCAGCAGGCATTCGACCGGAACAACCTGTAGCCGGCCCGCCATATAAGCGGACGGCCGAGCACGCGCCGGGGAAGCCTACAATCTATCTTAACGGAGTGACAGCCGGCCGGTGGGTGCACACGCGCAGACGCCAGGGACTGTTGGAGACCGACGGGGCATGCGCGGCTGGAGGAGACCGCGGATGCATTACCAGACATTGTTGGAAGCTACTGGAGAGTCACGAATTGTCGGGAAGCGGCTGGGGCGTCGGGAAGCGGCCGGGGCGTCGGGAAACGCTTAGGTCAGGATGACGAAGCAACATTTGGGACGGTGGGTGTATGGGCGGCGATAGGGGGTGTGGCTTAGGCGCGGTTTCAGTAAATTGTATAAAAAGGGAATGGGTGTATACATTGTCAGTGCTGACTTTATTTCCGTTTGTTCTTGCATAATAAACTGGGTGTTCTCCGTTCCTGGCGAGGTGCTTCTTTTATTGGAGTGGGTGCCAAAGACGGGGTGACAGTAAGTCAGCACTCCACCAAGGTCGGTTGCCAGACTATAGGGTGCCATGGCCGAAGGGGTGCAAGGGGCCGACGCAATGGAAGATATTCAGGAGCAGGAGAGGGATCTCGGGACGTCTGTAGATCCTGGGGCAGCGCTGGAAGGTCCGGTCGTTCGTCCGAAGGAAAGGAGTATTCCACCCGTGCTGGGTGTGGATCCAGGGATGAAGCAGCAGCCGGCGTTACCGGAGACTGTGGAATGGGGGTTGAGTTCTACGCTTCAGCGTTTGGATACTGAGGGTCGGGTTGTAACGACGGACAAAGGTCCTGCTGAAGGATGGAGGGAGAGGAGAGCGGTTAGCGGCGAAGAGGGCGATTGGAGCTACTCCACAACCCCGGGGCAGTATACCCTTGACGTGTTAAAGGCTAGGTTTGGGGAACCAGGATTCCTGCCAAGACAGGGAGCGATCCCACGCCGTCCCACTGAATCACCTGGATTCCGTTTGGCCAGTCCACTATTGAGGGGGCCAACAGTACAGTCGGACCGTGGGGGGCACGGAGCTGCGAGATTAGGACCCATGGCTGCTACTCAGGCCAGTCCGGCCTTCCTGCCTTTGGGACCCGGGGATCTTGGCCAACGCACTAACATCGCAGAAGGGCAGCATGGAGGCCAACCTGTAGCATGGCCCACAGGTATACCATGGACCCCTCCACCGATTGGAATTACTTTTGATGGAGATCCGGACAAGTTGGCTATGTTTTTGGGACATGTGCTAAACCATCTAGATCGTTTCGCAGCCCATTATTCCTCCCAATGGGCGATAGTGGTGGCGGTAACGGCCAGTTTGCAAGGCGAAGCAGCTTCCTGGGCGGCTGACCTCTTTGGGGACCATGCTAGTGAATTGGCCGACATAGGTTCCTTTTTGGATGCCTTGAGGATTAGGTTCGAAGACTCCACCAGAGCTCAGAGAGCAGAAGCTGAAATAGTGACACTGAGACAGGGAGGGAGACCAGTGAGGGAATTCATTAAAGAATTTCAGCGGGTGGCGGGTCGGTTGCGGTCCTGGCCTGAGAAATTGCTGGTACATTATTTCAGGCAGGGCCTGGATGTAGAACTCCGCCAGGCTTGTTTGGTAAGAGGAGTGCCCTCCCGTTTACCTGAATGGTATAAGACTGTAACCGAACTCCATGCAGGACTACAAGAATTGGCACCAAGAGCATCCGCCCTACTTCCGGTATCCGTTCAGCAAGCGGCAAATAAACCAAGGGCGTTAAGTGTACCAGTCCAAACAGTTCCACCTGGGGTGTCCAGGGGGACTTTCCGATGTTATAGGTGTAACAAACCGGGTCACAGGTGCCCAATCCCACCTAGACAGGGTTTGAGTTCGGGACAGTCCACCCTGGAGACAAGAAGACAAACCATCACCCCGTTCCGAGGGAAGGATCAAACAAAGGCGGTACAAGATGAAAGTAGCATCCCTTATAGGTCTACACCGGTAGTGCCGGTTGCCACATCGGAGGTAGTGCCTGAGACGTATGGTCAGGATGATCCGGAACAAGACCCCATGGTATGTACTCTGGTGGTACCATTTAATATATCGATACGTCTGACAAATTGTAGATCGGGACAATATAAAAACTGTAAAGCTTTAATAGATTCGGGTTGTACTCGATGTTTGATTAGTCGGAAATTGGCAAATATGTTGGAGCTTAGATTGGTCAATCTATCCCGACCTATTAACTTTGAACAGGTGGATGGTTCTTTATTAGGGGGGGCGCCGGTATGTCAGGTAACCGAACCGGTACGATTGGAGATGGGGGAGCATTGGGAGTTGCTCCGTTTTATTGTAATTCCCTCAATGACTGAGGAAGTGATCTTAGGGCTGGCCTGGCTTGACAAATGGCAGCCGGTGATTTGGTGGGCAGATGGGTATCGTCGTATGAGGTTGGTAACAGGTCCCCGGGCTCCAGGTAATGGTGAAAAGGAGCCACAGAAGCAATCACCCCTTAGGGAAACACAACACATGGAAAAAAGTAAGGTAGCAGTGGAAGCTACCAGAACGGCACGGCTCTTCCCTGTGGAGTATGACGATCTAAAGGAGGTATTCAGCGAACGGGAGTGTGATACGTTGCCACCACACCGTTCCACCGACTGTGCAATAGACATCATACCGGGGGCGAAGCTGCCAAAGCCCCGGATGTATCCCATGTCACCTAAGGAGTTGGTGGAACTAAGGAAGTATATTGATACAAACCTGGAACGGGGGTTTATAGAGCCGGCCCGATCGAGAATAGCGGCTCCAGTGATATTTCAAGGGAAAAAGGATGGTGGATTGCGGTTGTGTGTGGATTTCAGGGGGTTAAATGCGGTGAGCACCGAAACTATGTACCCATTACCTTTGTTAAAGGACATGCTATCTCATTTATCCCAAGGGAGGGTGTTTACTAAGCTTGATTTACGGGAGGCTTACTATCGCATCCGAATAAAGCCAGGAGATGAGTGGAAGACCGCATTCAACTGTCCTTTAGGCAGTTTCCAGTTTACAGTTATGCCATTTGGCCTTAAAGGAGCGCCTGCAGTATTCATGCAGACCATTAATGCGGTATTGCATGATCATTTATATCGCGGGGTATTGGTTTATCTGGATGACATTTTAATATATTCTAAAACTATGACAGAACACATACGGTTGGTCAGGGAAGTATTACGCAAACTCCTTAAGGCTCAGTTGTTTGTGAAGCTCTCGAAATGCGAATTCCACAAAACCTGTATTGAATATTTGGGGTACAGGATATCAGCTTCGGGTATAGAAATGGATCCAGAAAAGGTAAAGACAGTACTCGAATGGCAGGCCCCTCGGACGAGACGGCAATTGCAGAGCTTCCTGGGGTTCGCAAATTTCTATAGGCAGTTCATCCCTAATTTTGCACGGGTGGCTTTGCCTCTCACAGAATTGTTGAAAACGAGGAACTCCCCAGTTAAGGTACGCCCTAGTCAACCACTAGTGTGGTCCAGGGAAAGTCAAGCTGCTTTTGAATATTTAAAGACATTGTTTGCTCAAGAGCCCATTTTATTACATCCAAATCCCGATAAGCAGTATATTGTCCAGGCTGATGCGAGCGATGTGGCAGTGGGTGCAGTCTTGTTACAACGAAATGATAAGGAAGACTTACAACCATGCGCTTACACCTCGCGCAAACTGACAGAAGCTGAAAGGAGATGGGCTATATGGGAGAAGGAGGCCTTCGCCATTAAATGGGCCCTAGTAACATGGAGGCATCTTCTAGAAGGCGCGACACATGAAATAGAGATATGGACGGACCATAAAAACTTAGCTATATTGCAATCCCCCCGGCGCTTAGCACCAAAGCATGTGAGGTGGGCACAATACTTTCAACGGTTCACTTTCCGACTTAAATATGTTCCTGGGGGACGTAATTTTTTGGCAGATGCCTTATCCAGGTTACTCCAGTACGAGAGCCAACGAGAGGAAGTAGTACAGGCTATATTGCCGCCGTATACCCAGGGGGTGAGTAGGCTAAGAGTCCGTTCCAATTTCGATAATTTTGAGGGGGAACTGAAGAAGGTGTTGTCCCAGGATTCGTGGTTCCAAACTCATCGTACGCTATTCACTCAGAGGGACGGGTTGGCGTGGTTTGGTAGGAAGCTATATGTTCCCCTTGTTTTAAGGGCCAAGGTTCTTCAGAGGTGCCATGATGCACAACTAGCGGGGCATTTTGGGTTCGTCAAGACCTTACATTTAATTAGGCGCCAATTTTGGTGGCCTACGTTAAGAAAAGATGTGGCACATTACGTAAAGGCATGTTCTGTATGCGCTGCTTGCAAAAATCAGCCAGGAAAGCCGGTGGGATATCTACAGCCAGTGGCCGGCCCTGAGCATCCATGGCAAGATATTGCCATGGATTTTATTGTAGAATTACCAAGCAGTAGAGGATATACTGTCATTTGGACAGTAATCGACCTGTTTTCAAAACAGGCGCATTTCATTCCGTGTAAACGATTACCAACGGCTAAACGATTGGCATACATGTTTTTGACGCATATATATCGGATCCATGGAGCCCCTCGACGAATAATATCGGATCGGGGGGTTCAGTTTACAGCGAGATTTTGGAGGGGTTTTACGGCGCTTCTGGGGACGTCACAGGGGCTTAGCACCGCATACCATCCCGCCACGAACGGAGCTGCTGAACGGGCAAACGCAGCCGTTGAGAGATTTTTGCGGAGTTACGTTTCCTATCAACAGGCTAACTGGGCTGATCTTTTGGTATTTGCGGAAGTGGCGTATAATAATGCGGTGCACACCAGTACTGGATTTGCCCCTTTTAAGGTAGTCTCAGGAAAGGATTTTGTCCCTATACCTGAATGTATGAATTTACAGACACAGTCTTATCTTCCACGGGAGTGGGTTCAATGGGTATCAGGAGCATGGGCGGCAGTAAAAACAGCGTTAGCAGAGTATGGAAGAAGGATGCGGAAGCAGGCGGACAAGAGAAGGCAACCCTGTAAACCATTTAGGATAGGTCAACTAGTATATCTGTCCACCAAGTATCTGAAATTGAAGGTCCCTTGCAAAAAATTGGCGCCCAAATATATTGGTCCATTTAAAATTGTGAAGATCATTAACCCGGTAACTGTGCAATTGCACTTACCCAGATTACTGGGCAAAGTGCACCCAGTATTCCATTGTAGCTTAATCAAACCGGTCTATATGTACCAAAAGAAATCTGAACCAGGTCCCGTCGGTAATAATTTTTATGAAGTACAGGAAATACTCGATTCCCGTGTACAAAGGGGGGAATTGTATTATCTGATTAAATGGAAAGGCTATCCGTTGACGGATGCTACATGGGTACGGGTGGACGAAGTACGAGCTCCCCGACTAGTGAAACGATTCCACCAGAATAACCCTGGGAAACCGAAATTATCTGGGCCAGGGGGGAGTGAATAAGCGAAGCCATGGAAACGATGTAACCCTACTTTTCTTTCCCAGGGGGAGCCTTGGTAAGAGGGGGCAGTATGTCGGGCCGCCTACCCTGAATGCAGCAGCAGCAGGCATTCGACCGGAACAACCTGTAGCCGGCCCGCCATATAGCGGACGGCCGAGCACGCGCCGGGGAAGCCAACAATCTATCTTAACGGAGTGACAGCCGGCCGGTGGGTGCACACGCGCAGACGCCAGGGACTGTTGGAGACCGACGGGGCATGCGCGGCTGGAGGAGACCGCGGATGCATTACCAGACATGGTTGGAAGCTACTGGAGAGTCACGAATTGTCGGGAAGCGGCTGGGGCGTCGGGAAGCGGCCGGGGCGTCGGGAAACGCTTAGGTCAGGATGACGAAGCAACATTTGGGACGGTGGGTGTATGGGCGGCGATAGGGGGTGTGGCTTAGGCGCGGTTTCAGTAAATTGTATAAAAAGGGAATGGGTGTATACATTGTCAGTGCTGACTTTATTTCCGTTTGTTCTTGCATAATAAACTGGGTGTTCTCCGTTCCTGGCGAGGTGCTTCTTTTACTGGAGTGGGTGCCAAAGACGGGGTGACAAAGGGTAGCAAAATTGCCTTCTCCGAAGAGTTGTTCTGCTGTCCATTGTGAACCTGGGTGATTAGCTCTGTTTTGTGCCTCTCTCTTATATTCAGATTCAAAAACTACGTATTGCGTTCCGTTAAGAAGCATGCGGAACAGATCTTTCCAATCTTGAGGCAACATTCGATATGCACTAGCAACTGAATGTATCAGTCCTCTAGTATAGGGACTGGTTATGCCATAATCTTTTGTAGCCTTTTTCAATTCTCGGATCATAGCCAGGGGAAGTGCTTCCCAATCAACCACTATGCCTGCTGTGGTCTGTTGATAAGTAACAGGGAACAACTCTGTCTCGGATAGTTCAGAAACGCTCAAATCACCATTGTTCAAAGCCTTTTGAAAAGCGCCACGGATGATTCCGGGCTGGGAGACAGGCGGCAACATGGCAGGAACAGGAGAGGCTGTTTGTTGTTTATCAGGATCCATAGAATTTGCAGGGGCAGAAGGAGGGTTAAAACCTGCTCCAGGTGGTAAGGGAGTGGCCAACATAACAGACGGACTTTTATACGGTGGAGGGTCTAATAAAGGCTGATGAGGTGAGTCAGCATGGGTTTGAATCAGGGTATAGGCAATTTTCCAAAGGCACAAAATCTCTGTGGGGGGGGGGGCTCTCGGAGACTGATGGAGGACGGCGCCGATTTTCCTCCATGTATCTACTTTTAAAGATCCAGACTCCGGATAGGATGAGCAGTTAGCCCATACGTAAGCAAGCAATTTAACAGCCTCAGATTTAGAAAGGTGACAGGTTAATTTCTGTTCCTGATCAGTAAGATATTTTTTCCTGCCAAGTAGCCTCAGCTCTTCCACATGCTGCTTTTGAGCATGAGACATTCCACCCCCCATACTTACGAAGAGGAGTCAGTTGCCAGCAACTTCGTCGGGTGCACCAAGCCTATTCCAGGCGATAAGTAAAGGGTCGGCAGGGACGTATCCCTCAGTGGATCACATCGGGGTCACCAGATGTGGTGGTCTCCCATGGAGAATGAGACGCACGCAGGTATCTCGGGATGGGAGCCCAGAGCTGACTCCAACACCCTATTTTATTGTTACTATAGTTTTTACATCACACAGTGTAATCAAAAGACGTATATAGGGGTGGTTACAATATATCACATAACAGACACTCTCCAGATGCAAGGCTATGCAGGTGTTCTTATCAGACCCTGTCCAAATGGTTAATGAATGTATTCTGTGTCTGGAGCAGTCCGTTTGTTATCTCAAGGACTTTGTGGGAGCATGTCTATGGGCATATTTGTGCAATTAATCCCACATTCTTCTTCTTCTTGTTCTTCTTGTTCTTGTTCTTCTTCTTGTTCTTCTTCTTGTTCTTGTTCTTCTTCTTCTTCTTCTTGTTCTTGTTCTTGTTCTTCTTCTTCTTCTTCTTCTTCTTCTTTTTCTTCTTCTTCTTCTTCTTCTTCTTCTTCTTCTTCTTCTTCTTCTTCTTCTTCTTCTTCTTCTTCTTCTTCTTCTTCTTCTTCTTCTTCTTCTTCTTCTTCTTTTTTCTGTTTTCTACTACTGAATTATAATTCTATCCAGCCACCACTTTTTCAGCAGATAGAAAACCATTCCAGCACAAAACTTGGGGTGTCTATTGTTGATCCCTATCTTGCCTCATTGCCTGTTCCAAGTCACTGCAGTTACCTGACTTGCCTCCAGATCAATGAGTGACAAAGCTTAGCAGATTTAATACCCCCGACGGCTGTCCTTAGGCAGTGTTAGAACGAGAGGAAAATATTATTTTTACATTGATACAGCTAAAGGCAACTTAAGGCTATCTCACAGGTAGGGATTAGATGAAGCCAACATAAGGAGTCATGGTCAAAACCATTTTTTGCAACAACATCTTTGTGCTGTGGTTAAAAACAATTGGGAGTTCAATTTCACTCCCTCTTTGATTTTGTGCAAAAGGTATTTGGAATTTGGTACTTGTCAGGAGCTTGATCCCTTTCCCTGTGTTTTTGCTCCAGTAGAAAATTTGAAATTCTTTATATGCTTCTCTTGCAGGTATTTTCATTTGAGAAAGACAAACTTTATTAACATGACATAAAATGTTCATAAACAAAACAGTTCAGTGCACTTTCTAAAAATGAACAACATGACAAAGAGATTTGTTTACACAGAGAGCATAAAGGATGCTTGTTTTCTAATGTAATGTACTAAAATAATGAAGTATTTTATTGTCCTAGGATTTTGTGAGTCATCAACAGAAACAGATCAGATTTCATTTTTACCTGAAAAAATGGTTTGTTTTCACATATGTTCCAAAAGTACCAAGTTAATCAAATGAAAGGCTCTTTTTAGATGGATAATACAGAGGTTGTGATGATCTGATGTTCTTGTCAATTGTACTGTACTAGAAAGAGTTCAGAGAAGAGCAACAAAGATGATTAGGGGACTGGAGGCTAAAACCTATAAGGAACGGTTGCTGGAATTGGGTATGTCTAGTTTAATGAAGAGAAGGACGAGGGGGGACATGATAGCAGTGTTCCAATATATTTTTGATATTCGAGGGGCTGCCACAAAGAAGAGGGAGTCAAGCTATTTTCCAAAGCATCTGAAGGCAGGACAAGAACCAAAGGATGAAAACTAACCAAGGAGAGAAGCAACCTAGAACTAAGGAGAAATTTCCTGACAGAACTATTAGTCAGTGGAACAACCTACCTCCAGAAGTTGTGAGGAGACTGGACAGCCATTTGTCTGAAATGATACAGGGTTTCCTGTCTGAGCAGGGCGTTGGACTAGATGACTTCCAAGGTCCCTTCCAATTATTATTATTATTATTATTATTATTATTATTATTATTATTATTATTATTATTATTAATCATCGCACAGTCAGCCAGATGTTCAGACTGGATTTGGCATTTTGTCTACCTATCGAGTCGTTACCCAGGACCTGGGATAGGCAGATGTGGATGTTTGATGGTATTACAGATATCGTCGCAGGATGGAAGCAGTTCCTAATAAGGCCGCCTTTTGCAATTGACTAATAGCGAATTTGTCAATGCCAATGTGTTCAAGTGGTGCTCCAGTTGTTTTGGGATTGCACCCAAGGAGCCTATTACTATTGGTACTACCCTTGCTTGCTTTTGCCACAGTCTTTCTATTTCTATTTGTAGGTCTTTGTATTTTGTTATCTTCTCCAGTTCTTTCTCTTCTATTCTGCTATCTCCAGGCACTGCCACGTCCACTATCCAGACTTTTTTGTCTTTCTTATCGACAATTGTTAAGTCTGGGGTGTTATGTTGCAGGTGCTTGTCT